TGTCCTAAGAGCTTTCAGGGAAGGATTAAACTGTCATTTGTTTTATTTCGTTCCATGAAACAACTGTCGTAACAGGGCTGAGGTAAGAGGTGCTGGACTTGCTACCTTAAGGTGGCATGGAAAAGAGTAACTGCTATCTTCTGTTATCTTCCCTAGAACCAAAGCAAATCATTGCCAAGTTGTTGGGCTTTTGTTACTGTTTCCATTCAATAATATCCAATCTCGATACTGAAGTGCTTCTACTAGAAATCACAGAGTTTGGACAATCTCTGCACCACGCTTAGGCAGAAGTGGAAGTATCAGTGATTTTTTTTTCAATCTGATTCATTCATTCCATTTAGCCAAGATGATCTGGGTTTAAGCACTGACAGAATTTACAGCTGATTAGGGCTGGAATTGGGAGGCTGATAAAAACAAAGAAAAAAAGGAGAGGTATGCTATATCTTTATCATGTGGTAAGGGTTTACCAGCCCTAATACATTCACTTGCAACTCCACACACAAGAAGACTGGCACCATTCTAGCAAGGATGATCATGGCAGTTCCATTTGGCATCTCTTTCCCAACTACAATTCCATCAGAGGGTCTAAAACTTCTAGCACTTCTTCCCCAGAAAGAATGAGCAAAAATAAGCCTTCTGATTCAGAGAAAGATAATCTGCGCCCTCAGTAAGAGCAAACATGTGGGAAAACTATTTGTTAGAAGAATGTACCTTGCAGCTATTGCCAAAGGTTTTGATGGGTGTATCTGTGCTTTGGATAGCTTTATGGCCGCACAGTGGAAATTGCTCATAATGAATGATAACATCTACTTTTCTGTAACACCTTTTGTCCAGAAATCAAAAGCACTTAAAAAAAAAAAAAAAAAAGCTTGACGCTAGGAGCTCCTCATGTCACACCTACAGACTAATTTTTTTGAAACAGCTTGGTAGCCAAGCTCTTTGGCACTTATCATGCTTTAAATGACATCTGAGTGCTCTTAAAAATGTGATCCATAAAGCATTTCACCATTGAAAGGCAACTGCTTCTAGAGTTTGGAGGGAGATGCCCTTGAGTGGCTGGCACCAACTCTGTGCTGAACCTTAAAAGGGACAGTTTAGCCAAGGAGGGCAAGCCCCACTCTTACAAGAGATGCCAAACACGTATATTGACCAGATAATATTGTTTGTCAAGGTCTCGTCTCCAAGAACGATAATATTGCAGTGAATTCAACGCATCTCCTTTAATGGAGAGAAAGAGCTTGGGTGAGCGGGAGTTGAAGAACTACATACCTTGTATGAACTACAAACTACAGTTCTGGAGACTGCTTCCACAGGAGCTGCTCTGACATACAGAACAGCAGTATTACAGGAGAATTAAAATATTGACACTTCTGGGAAAAATTGAAACATTTCTAAAAGTTGCAATAGAGATACATAAATAATCCCCATTCTCTCCTAAAAAGTTTCTACATTGACTGGTTCACAGCAAGAACCAGTCCAACTCTTTTGCATGTCCTCGTTCGCGTGCTATTTACTGTAGTCCTAAGGCAGGGGTGCTGCTTCCTCCCGGTGTCTCACCTGGACTAGTCTTGCCAGACATGCCCAGTATGGGGCAGGGTGACAGTGAGGAAGCACCTGCAGCAGAGTAACAGGATATGCAGAGGCAGCAGCAGGGACAGAAAGAGCTCTGGAAGAATTACAGCTTCCACCACTGCCCCATGCTCCCTGTTGATGGTGGGATTGGGACGGGCTCTCCTCCAGGTGGCAAGAAGGCTTTAGCCCGCTTCAGCCCCTGCCCCCTATTTGCATCATGTTTGCTAGTCCCCTGCTTCCCATCAGTGTGCCTCTTACTGGGAGGTCACATGAGGGACTCATTCAAACTTTGGAGGGACCATGAGCAATGAAACATCGCCACCTCACATGTCTCTGGGAAACAGTGCAAAAATCACTCTGCTGTTGCTAGTGCAAGTTTACAGACCTCTCTATTTATTATTACATGGATTTTACCAATGACCACAGCACGACGGGCACAGTCTCTCGTGCCGACATTCTCAGGAGCTGCTCTGCTTCTAACTCCTGTTATGTTTGTAACATATATGAAATAGCCTGGTCACAAACTGCAGGGTTGTAGCTCCACGAAGCCATGACCAGATTCCTGTACATATATGAGCATCTAACGCTTCTCATAGTTCCCAGGCAAGAAAAGCCAAATAAGAGAATGAACACCAATGGGAGAGCATATTTTGTTAGCAGGAATACAATTACAATGTAGACAGACTGCCTCCATTTCCTCCTCCAAATTAAAATGATCTTCTCCTATGTTGTTACCTAAGAACGTGGCCAAAATCTGATCCGCTCTGCCTCTGACTGCATTTTAGAGGCCAAAAAGAGGCTACAAGGAGCTAAGAGACAAGTCCCCTGGTGCAAGAAGTGTTGAAGGGAAGAGCGCATACTCTTGCTGCTACTCCAGCTCAGGACAGAGGCTTGCAGGGAGGAAGGAGGCAGGTCTTTGTGGGGCACCAATGGACTCGGGCCTACGGGACAACTCAGGAGACTGCTATAATGTACAGCAGCTCCTAGAGGTCTACTGGCTCTCTCTTCTTGGCCTGCAAAGCCTGCATGGCAGTTGTCAGAGGGCAGAGTGCAAAGTTAGCCTAACACATGCAGAGAGAAAGTTTTTTACTTCCCCCTTCTGCCCAGCTTCATTGCAAGCGAGTGTCCCAACAGCTAGGTGACATGTCTAGAACTAGAGAGGACCATGGGCTTGAGAAGAAAGGTGAGGAACAAGCCCTCTGTGACAAGAAGGGGGACTAAGCAGATCCCCTGGATAGTCTGTGTCCTATCTTTTACTTCTCTAATATCCTACTGTGGTGCTATCAACTGGAAATCCATATATGAAGCTGCACTAAGGTTTGGAATTACAGCAGAGATTGAAATCCTCTGTTATACAGAAAAAGCATTTGGCTATCTGCTTTGGACCTTTTTCTTTTTTTTTTTCTTTTTTTTTTCTTTTTTTTTTTTGTTTTAAAGACAGGATTGGAATTTCAAAGTGGTTAGGAGCAAGGCCTGGGAGTAAAAAGCTGTTGACGTGACTTCTTTATTAAATGCAACTTTGGAGCCTTTTCCTGTGACTGCTAGGCTTTGAGCTTTTCCAGTCCACATAACTCCAAATTAAAATAGACAAAAGTTGTTTCATTTCATTAGGGAAGCAAGGCAGTTCCTAGCGTTCTTGCTTGCTATGATTTGCCGAGGGGAAGCTAAGAGAGGATGGAATCACTTTCTGAGAACGAGCTAATTTAACACTGTTAGGGACAATGTCAGAATTTAATTTATTTTGCTGCCTTATGCAGCAGACAGTCCCTTGACCTGCTTCTCTCCCATGCCCCTGTGCTACTGGGAACCTGCTAAGATGCACCAGTAAAAGGTTCAGGCTTATAAATAAATCTGTACTTTAAATGTCCAACAGTTCCCTAACTTTAGGGAATTTTATTCCTATCAGGTCCCTAACCTCAATTTTATTGGGAAAATGACTGCAAGTGTCTGCCTCAAGAAGCCTGCTATGGAATGGGTCTCAGAACTAAAGACTTTTCCTCCCTCTGAAAACTGAATGTTATCCAAAATGAAATTCAGATTTTTACATTTAAAATTGTCATGTTTAGGCTGAAATTACAAGATAACAACAACAAGAACATTCTAAAATAAGTAAATAAGTAATAAGTAAAGTCTGTATGAAAGGTTCTAATCATGGGGAAAGTAGATTCTAACACAATTTAAAACAAAAATCTCTAATGCCTGAACCCTTGCTTCTCATATTCCACCTTTTCTCCCTCTCCCTGTGTTTCTGCAGGAGCACAGGAAAGAGCTGAAAAAAGCACGGGAGAAAAAATAATTTTCTCTCCAAGGAACAAGTAACACAGTAACATATTTTCATGATAACAAGCAACCTCTTTTCTGCAAAAGATACAATTTGCTCTTTTCAACAGGCTCCAGCTGCAGTTGGCTGAGAGTAAAGGTGCAATACTTGAAGGTGAATAGGGCTTATGTTTTAGGAATTTCCAGGATTTTAATGGATTGCATTGATAAGAAATGCATTTTCATATTCTGAAGTGCCAACAACATTGTTGTTGTGGGATATTCTTTGAGGAATTCCTTTGCAAAAAGGATGGCAATATACTCATTAGAAATGCAAAGTCATTCTTGAAGATCCAAGCTTCTAAATGAACGTTATTTCAATAAATAAAGATGCTGTGAATTCAACATATTGATTCTCTAATTCATCTTATAAGCTAAAATACATCATTCCTCTTGGACTGCAATTCCCAGCCAGGTTGTCCTCTTAATCTTAATTATAAATGGTCTGCCAGTTATCACATCTTTCTCTGTGTCAGTACTGCACAATCCTCACCCTTAATTGCACAAATATTTTATTTTTGGAACAACACAGCTCAGCAACATGCTTCATTTTTCTTTTCATGACTCAGTCTCTATTAAAGCACAGCATTTATAAAAGCTCTGGGTGTGTGGAGAGAAAATTAGTTGCTCCTCCGTGGCTAACAGTTTTTAGCTAATCACAATACAGCTCCACATCACTCCTAGCAGAGCACTGATTAAAACTGTGCCTGTAACAAAGCAACATTGTACACAGCGATGACGTGCTCCAGTCAAAAACGTCTCCCCCCGTTATGATTGGTATTCCCCAGATGTTTGACTTTGAGCTCTAGCTTGGCAAGCGAGGCTTTGTGGCTGCAATTCAAGTCCAAAGCTTGAGCAGCTCCAGTGTTTATTCTCATAATTTACACTTTGTGACGGCTTATGGACAGTTATGTACTTGGTTTCATAGCCACCACTTCAAACTAAGGGCCTGATCCTGTCTTCATGGAGTTGATGGTAAAACGCTTTGTGATTCCAGCAGAGGCAGAAGTAGGCCCCAGAAGACTAAACTGTCTCTCAAAGCAAACAAGCCAACATAAAAGAACAATTTGGTTTAAAAACAATGAAAAAATGCCTGAAGTCTTACTTACTAGGAAGTCTTCTTCACAGTACACTTTGCCGTTGACATTGTAGAATGCTTTTCCTCGTAGTCTTCTCCCTGTTAAAATATTTTATTGTCAGAATTTTGTACTGTTTCCAGGCTTAGGCATTCAGGACACAAAATAAAAAGTATACCCTGCTGTGCCCATTAACACGGCCAGTTCCTGGCTTCTTTTCTCACTGGACTGTCAATCCAGACACCTGGGTGAGAATTAGGCTGTAGTCATCATCATACATTAACAAATTCCTTATCAACTGAATGGGACCTGTAGGCATGGGTTATGGAACTCACATAATTCCAGTTCCTGGTGAATTTAAAACCTAAACCCCAAAACAATTTCTCTGGTGGGAAAGGCTCATTTGTAAATCAAAACAATTTTCTTTGCAGGTCAAGTCATACCTGGGATAAACCCACTTGGAATGTACCCAGTGCATTTGCTTCTGAAGGACAACAAGCACGAAATACCAGCATATGAATGTTGCTGTCACCTTTCAAAACATTAATACATTAATCAGTGCTACAACACCTAGACTTTTAATAACCTGTGATACTAAACCAGCACAAGGTGTACATGACAGAGGGAAGGACAGAACAGTACTGAAAACGAGATTACATTTACAAGTTTAAACATTTGCTGGTTTATTGGAACTAGCTGAGCTCTTATTGACTATGTATCTGATCATCACAAACTGATGGTTCCCTTCACAGTTAAGAAATATGCAAGATTCCAGAAAGCCTCAACAGAAAGCGTTAAAAAAGGAATTCAGAAAACTACCAAAACCAACAGTTCTTTATATACGACTGATCAAAAACATCTCTCTCGTAAACCAGAGTGGTTCCACTGAAGGCAATGACATTGTGTCAGTGTAAAACCAGCCAGGGAGGATAGTAACCAGACTCATCCTGATTCAGCTGGTTTCCAGCCAGTGCCAGGGTCCTATCTGGCCAAAGCTTCCAAACATTTGGGTGTTCTCATCAATCCATTTGCAGCCTTGGTAAGGAGATGACACAATCGCCTACTAAGAGCCGCATATAAGCTGCCGTTAGCAGTGCACAGCTACAATACTGTTGGGGACACAGACCCATGAAGAGGGCAAAAGACTGTATTTACAGGCCATCAGACAGCCCTCTTCGAATTCACTGTTGAAGCTTTTACTCTACAGAATAAACTTGGACTTCTCCGTAATGTCTCAGGGACGAGAACCTCCACCATAAACACTGCCTATCCTTGCTGAGAGTTTCAATCTCATGGCTGGCGAGCTCAGAGCTAGCTGGCAGAGAGCAGAGTGGCAGAAGTGCTCTCTACGGTTTCCATAAACAACGTTGAGGAAAATATGATTAATCTTCAGTGTTTAAAAGTGTCTTTTACACGTTGCCACTGTGATCTGATCCTGGGAAACAGTGTGCGGCACAAAGAAGTTGGGATTTGGGCTGATGCTTTTGGGAAATCACATGCTGTATGTGGTTGTCTGGTGGTTTTACTGTCGTGGTCGAGGGAAATGCTTCTTTTGTGTACACATTCTTGGGCTTTAGAGCTCACAGGCTGCTGTCTCCATATTACTGGTAGGTGGAGTCAGTTATTGTTTGTCTTTCTTACTGCCTGGTAGCTCTGACTGGGGACCAGGATCCTGTCATCCTGGGCAATACACTGAGACTACGAATCTTCTCTCAGAGACTCTCATGTAAAACTGGTCCATCCAGTAAGTCAGTCACAGAAACAAGACACAGGGCTGGAACAGCTCTTAGGAGGTCATGAGGCCTCTCTCAAAAGTGACACAGGAGCAACTACTCTAGATCTTCCCTATTATTTATCCAAGCTGTTCTTAAAACTCTCCAGTGGGAAAGACCCATGACCTCCCTTAATAGTCTGCCCTAGTTCTTAACTACACTGCTAGCAGGAGCACAGGGTTCTTTTCTTAATATCTAACTGCATTTGTCAGGGAAGCAGTAAATTTCTTTATATCCTTCCCCTGTGAACATGGTGAGCAAGCCATTCCCCTGCCTGACTGACTTATAAATCTTTAGGCTCACAACTCTTTGAACAGAGTCCTTTACAGAACCATAAATCTGCTTCAAAATGACCTTCAGACTCTGATCCCTGTGAGGATCTGCTCAAAATTGAACTTAGAGCAGACATGGTGCATCATCACCAGTGCTTTGGTAAAGGACTAGGGAGGACACAGCCTCCTGCCCAACGGAAAAACTGCCACCACTTTCAGGAGTGCTCTGGCACCTGTTAGCTCCTCTGCTCTTGGCTGCAGTGCCTGTTTCAAGTTTGCCTAAGAATATGGCTGATGCTTCTTCCCAAAGGCCCAGCTCTGCAAACTGTTTTGCTCTGGATACCTGAGATGTACTTCCTCCCCACTGAGTCCTGCTCAGCCGCATTAGCTCTCCACCTGCCTCTCCCCTCCCTGCCTGCAGAGCTGCCTTCAAGGATACCTCCTCCCTGACTGCCTTCTCCAGGCACAACCATTCCTCCCCACTGCCATTTCTTCCCTCTGGCTCAAAAACCGTGACTCGGCTGTCACTGCCATCACCCTCACAACCCTCCTTCACAGCTCCTCTTCCAGCTTTAGGAAGCCCCCTCCACCTCACCTATACCTTTGCAGCAGCTCCTAGAGCCTACCTGCTTTTCGCGCCAGGAAGGGCACGCAGGTCGGTCACCCAGAAACCTCTGGGCCTGAAACGTGCATCCGCCCTCCAGCCAGTCTCGCACCCCGTCAGCTTGCCCCAGAGCCATCCAGGCCTGGGTGCATCCGCGGCCACCGTCCTCGCACACCGCGGCAGGGACTGGACTGGCTCTGAGTGCCCCCAAGTGTGCGCAGACTGGCGGCAGCAGCTCGCAGCAGAGGGGAGCCTCTGCCTCACGGCCTGCCAGACACTCGTCCTCCTCTAAGCCCACCACCCACAGCAAGCACCACCCCGACCCTGACTGCAGTGTCAGGCCAGCAAATAAGATCCTCCCCTCCCCAGTGCTTTCAGAACCACACCATGCAAACAGAAATCCATTATTCTTGTGGTAACACGAAAGCCCTGGCTACATATCCATCTCTAATCACCTACGAAAGCTCTTCATTGCCTGACAGACTGTCCTCTGCTGCAGGTGTTATTCCTAAGTCACCAGTGACCGCAACCCAGGCAACACAAAAGCCTGGTTTCCAGAGGTAACTCCCATTAAGAGTCACTCAGGCTTGCTCAGTGTGGTTTGCATGGTGTGGTGGTGGTGGTGTAATTTCTTGCTGTGCCTCTAAACACACGGAGCTTGTGCCAGCCTGCTGGGAGTCGCACCCAGCGCAAGCCTGGCAGCCCGGAGCAGGAAGCCTGCGCCAATCCGCAGGCTCTGCGAAGGTGTGGGAGGCAGGCTGGCAGGGGCGGCGGGCGAGGAGGACACTCTACAAGGAGAAAATCCTCTCGGGAAAAAAAAAAAGTCCTCTGCCCAGCTGTGTCATGCCGTCTATACCCAAATGGAAATAAAGGAGCTAATAATAAAAAAGGAAATGAGGGGAGAAAGGAAAGAGCCAAGAACGGCTTTTTAAAGGATATGTTGGTTCTGCAAGACCCAGCAAGGACATATGATTTGCTTTTAGATGGTGGAACTAAAATGGCCGCACCCAGGCCAGGAACTCGACTTCTACATGCTGATGCAGCATTTCCAAATTACTCACAGGGACTGGCTCAGTCAATGCAGAAAACCTGCTTGTTTGAATCAGATGGTAAATCTCTAGCCATCACTCTCCCCACACACCCATTACAGTTAGAAGCAGCAGAGATAATTAGGGACAAATCCCAAACTGTAGCCCTGGAAGGGTTTCTGCAAGAAGGAAACGCCTTAAGTCAGGGCAGGCATCAGCATCTCCTGAGGGACTGCACAAGGTGTATGAAGATCCACAGGTCCTGCGTTGTACCCCACTGTTTACCAGAGAGCCTGGTAGTGCTAACGTTGATGGAAACGCCCCAAATTCTGCTCCTGTTATTTCATAGCAAATCACCCATAGCAGAAGTCAATCAAGTCAAATTTTTCCATGACCAGGAAGGAGTGGGAAGCTTATGATCCAAAGCAAATAAAGAAAAACAATGCTGTGGACTAGCTCTCAAAGATGCTTCTGTTTTCAAACATTTGATGGTTAGCCCATCGTCCTAGGACATAAACAACCTCAACTCACTCTAGTGCAGTAAAACTGCAAGCCCCCATCTCAGCCACTATACAACTTGTGAGCCCCTGCTTACTGATGAGACACGCTTCTGCAAACCCGCCACCCGGGCAGAAACAGACAATTGACCTATCTTTTCATATAGCTGACATGGTAAAAAAAAGTCATAGTTTTATATTATATTTAAAGAGCAACACCTTTCAAAACTGAGGAAAAACATCATTTTCCCCATTTTACAGATGAGAAAACCAAGCCACATATTAGGGAACTGACTTGCCCAAACTCATAAAGCAGGCAAGCAGCTTACTCACATGATGATTACTATTATTAGCAATAATTAATAAGATTGACAGGCCTTTTACCTTAGAGGAATTTCATTCAGGGATAGTACAATCTCATAAACAAGAAACAGCAAGTTATCACACAAATAGCATGAACTACACTATACTGAATTTTAGAAATGAAAACAAAAACACATATTCTACTTGCCCTCCAGAGAAGTTTGCTAAATGACAGCATTTAACAAAGTTAAACACCAAACTCCATGGGCGCCCAGGTATCTCTTAAGTACTGCAATAAATAGAAAAGCACCAACAATCACAATCAACAAGGAGACACAAATCAAAAGGAGATCCAGGCTGTCCTGCCCCGCAGTGCCAGCACAGTGCTTTGTCGAGTTAACCGAGCTAGAGCTACTCTCGCGCTTGGAAGCTGCAGAGCCAAGACTGGGGCTGCTCCACACAAACTAGTGTAACCGCCTCCCGGCTGGATGAACGGGACAGACGCTTCTGTGGCTCTGTTCCTTGAGGTACTGGAGTAACTGGAACCTGCGTAGCAGTAGCCTGTTCTGTGTGGCCATAACCTATTCTCGTCAATCAGGCAGAGACTACAAGTCAAAAACAGTAA